GGCAGGCGGGAGCGCTGCCGCCCCTCGGAACCTCGGCTGCGCCACGGATTCTTTGCCCCTGGGCGAAGCCCCAGGAAGGCCCAACTCTACCCGCCCCCCCGGCCCCACCGCAACGACATAGCAACCCTTCCCCTCCCGCCCCAGCGCTGCAGGTAGTACAGGCCCTCCAGCGGCCCCAGAGAGGGCTTCAGAACAAACAGCCCCAGCCTCTCTTTTCACTAAGAGGGTGTAACTAGCCCTTTTTCCCACCCCTCAAACCCATAGTCCAAGGACGAGAAAAAACATGCTTTTTTTAAAGCCAGAGAGCCAAGCCGAACAAGACTAAAATGACGGTCCTCACTCACTGCTGCACTTCAGAAGTTCACCTCATGGTGAAGACAGAGGTTCAGGACTTTGACCTTGGCCCAAAGCTGGGCAGCAAAATAACCAGGGATCCAAGAAATATCTTTACAGTAATTCTTTACGTGGGACTTTCTTGCTGATGATGCGTATGTAATTAGAAGCTAAAAAAATAATCTTTCCTTTGTTTGATTTTTTTTCTCCTGCATCAATATATGCTGGTTTACAAGACAGTAAAAAAAGATTATCCCACGGTCAAAGTCAGACCCTGCAAATACAGAGGACTCCACAGCACCATGGATTGGGAGCACTGAGCAGAACAAAAAACCAGTCATGGCCATAGGAACCAGATAACACAATGATCAGAAAAATAGCCTTCCCCTTTCCTTTGTCACTTGATGAGCTAAGATATGGACCGAGGACAGGAGCACTGATGAAGGGAGCCTGGGAGTTCTTGTCATCTTTTACAGCAGTGAGATTAACCCTGCAAGAAAGCCTGTCTCCACTGGCTAGTAGATAGCAGTGGGTATGAGGGCACATTGAATTTTAATAGAGTGGAATCCAGAGATATTTGGAAAGCATCCTGGGCACAGCCATGTCCTGACCCCCTCTGCTTACCTTCTCCCCTCCCCACCCACCCCAGACAAACTAAAACAATCCTGCAGTTTACTCCAGGCAGAGGTGGCATCAGTACGTCTTGCCGGCTTCCCTTTTAGTTGCAGTCCCTGGGTCATCAATATGAGCCATAACGATCCTGGGGAGGAAACACACCGAGACACCATGCTACAACACTTCAGGCAAACTCCAGAGACAGACAAGGTCTTGAGGTCTTTGGGATTGGAATGCAGTGTAAGGTTACACAGACAGGACATTATGCAAAGGCTGGAAGTAAAAAAAGAACTTTTTAAGTTCTGCCTGAGATTTGTGGGAAAAGGCATATCTGACATAACAAGATATCCTGTTTAGCTGGAGAGTAAGGTTGGCCAAGCAGAGTTCATTGGCCACCTGGAATGCTCAGCTATTGTAGTGAAGTAATCAGCTACAAAAGACAGGTCTCTACCTGGGACTTCCCACATAACTTGAGAAGATTACTATAATTCCAGCAGAAGCCTGAATATGGTGAAAATCCCTGAGCATGACTGAAGGTGCCAGAGCATAACCTCACCTGGAGGGAGTTCATCACCCCGTTGGCTAGGACAGCCATCTTGCCAGCAACTGATTTCACTCCTTGCTTGAACTGTGCAATGTCAGCTGCAGGCAGGACACTTCCAATTGACACGCCACCTACAAGAACCAGCAGGAGTTGGTCTGGAGTCCCCCAGCTCCAGAAAACACCCTGACCCCTCCAGATTAGGTCCTCTAAAGCTGCCCCCTTCCTCAGCCCGCTGAGTGCTAACAAACCTGAGTGCACATTCTCAGCTTCTCCGAACAGGTCTGCAGAGCTGATGGCACTGCTGCCTGAGAGCTGCTGCAGTCGGGATCTGGCTTCATACTACAGCAGAAAACAAAAGAAAGGAAGGGAACAAAGTAGGACGTGAGCAAACAGGAGGAGATGAAGCCAGAGCTGTACCAGCTTAAGCCCTGCAAAATGCATCTACCTCAGCATCTGTCTCCCGCCCGAAGAACATATCTGAAGAGATAGCTTTAGCCCCTGCAAACTTCTGCCGAGCCTCATTGGATTCCACAACCGATGTCCTGTTCTCTGTCTCCCACCTACTGGTGGGTCTGAGGAAACAAGAAAGGAGATATCTCGGCTTAAGCTCACCAATGCAGTAAAGAAACAGACTTCTCTCTCAGACCCCATGCGATCAAAGGAAAGCAACAAATCTTCAAGTGTTAGCTACCATTAGGGTTCTCCTCACTCCACCTCAGGACAGCCAGCACTTGATGACCATAAAGGCTGTATCAAACTCAGGGACATGACAGGCAAAAAAGTGCCCAAGCCTCTTTCACTTAAGGCCCTTTTGCTTGAGCTTGTCCATGCAAGTTATCTTCTGCAGCACAAGGCTCCTGTCATAACACAGCAGCATCTCTCCCCACAGCTCCTAGACCTATCCCTTTGTCCCACACACAAGGAAGATACAGTAGCAGTGGCACGCACTTTACCTCTCTGAAACTGGCCGAATACTGGAAATGGTCACCTCAGGTTCTTCCTCTTTGTCCATACCCCAGGAAGAGTCCGTTTCCCATCGCGAGCCAAATGCATCTTCAAATGAGAAGGGATTATGTTTGTACCTAGGTACCAAAAATAGGTAGTTTAAGACAGACATTAAATTCAGGAATAAGCCAAAGACTACACTAAAGCTAAGTCTTACTTAGGGGGTCCAGATGTGAAGCCTCCAGCATCTTCAAACAAGTCCAGCTGGGAGCGGGAAGATTTTGCAGCCAGTGGCGTCTCCTGCTCAATTACTTGCATCTCAGACATCATCGAGTGTGAAACAGAACTAGCACAACAAACAGGCAGTCAAAGCTGATAGGTCTGACAGCATCCAGCCTCTACAACCAGTCTGCCTCAAAACTGAATCTGGCCTTCACAGCAGGGCAGATGCCACAAGCCTTGAGGGAGAGTTGTGGGATGCCAGCCCCATTCATGACTTATCTAGCTTATCTTGACTCCCTCAGAAGTCTTGAGCTGCCTTCTTAAGGGAAGTATTGTGCAGAAGGACATCTGTCAAGCAGCAGGGCTCTATGGATAAACACTGACAGTTCACACACATCTTTGGAAAAGCTCAAATGAAAACTAGAACCTCTGAATAGAGTACCCATCCTTCTGGGGCCCCGAATCATTTTTGGACATAGTCCAGCATATAAGAACTTTAAATCAGCTCTTTATCTGTTACAAGAGCAGCGAGCTACTGCCTCCAGAAAACTTTTCCAGAGCAGGATGCTTCCAAGGCACCTGTCTGTCCTATGACATCCACAGCCAAGTACCTTCTAGACACCAAGCCCATGCCCAGCCTCTCTGCTTGTTCACGCTTCTTCCCTTCAAGGTTCTGAAGTTTCTTCTCTTCCTTCTTCCGATCTGGCTGCAGCTCCTGATAAGCCAGTCGCATTGAGGTGACTCTAAAGGAAAGAGCTATGGTGGGTACCGGCTCATGATCCTCCCCCACTGCCAGCCTATGCTGTGGAGGGGCACGGGAGACAGTAACCCCAACAATCCATCAAAACACCAATTTCCACAACAGCTCTGCCAAAAATCCTTGCATAGAGGCTACTGCTTGTCTTCCCATCTCACCTCCACTGGGATTCAACTCTTTTTTGGCTAACCATGATTTCCTTACTGTAAGTGTGTGCCCCAAACCCCTCCCAGACAGAATGCCCCATCCAGTTCAGCCTTTGCCTGTTTCAGTCCTGTCCAAAGGGCAACAGAAACACAAAATACTTGCAAATCTGCTCCTTAAACTCTTCCAGGGATGCTAATTTGGAAAAAATATGTCAGTAGAACTTGTGCCCTGCTCTAAGGGCCATATTGGCTTATAGATACTGCTCATCCTATCATGCATGTTCCGTACTCACATTAGGTGGTCCTAGGGTGAACAGCATTAACCTATTACTTCTGCCTTATGTACGTAAGGTATTTAGCCCAAACAGGGCACTTACATGGACTCCTCTGCTTGTTTCCTGGACTCCACTGCCTGCTGCTCCCTCAGCTGCTCTGCCACCTGGGCTTGCCGCTCAATCTCACTGAAGCTCTGGCTGCTCACTTTCTGGGCTCCAAGACCTTTTTTTGCACCCAACTTGAAAAACAAAACACACACAAAAAAGCCATTTCTTCACCCTAGATTGTTCTTTGTAGAAGAAAACCAGAATCCTACTCCTTGCTGCACTGATCAGGCCTTTGGTCTCCCTATGCAGTCACAACCTACAGACCCAGTAGAGTTTGCAACTAAGTATGGAAGAACACCCAAGAGTTAACCCACCAGTGGCCAGTGCGAAGATATCAGCCACGTACACTTCAGTCCATAACGAGTAATGATCCAAAACCTAATTGGCTTTTGTCCATTAACATACAAGCTATCTTTCAAAACAAGCAGTGATATAATCAAAGCTCTCCCTTCGCCAAATGGATCTCTCAATACACAGCTTTGTTAAGGGCAGGAAGCAAGGGCCAGGGAAAGGACAGCAGTAATATGAGACATGCTTTACCTCCTCTCCGTAAAAGAAGAGCTCAGACATACCCCTTTCTTGGCAGCTCCTGGCTTCTTCTTTCCAATGAGCGAGGACTTAAGTTCTGCAAGAGGAGGAAAGCAGCAAATAAGCAGAAGTGAAAGAATTTAAGAAGCCAAAATTAGTCAGCAGCCCACACGAACATCCACCGCAGTCCAGCTGCTATAAAATACAGGGCACACCATGCAGCTTCTCATCAGAAGCCTGGGTGACTTCACCCAGCAAAGAAAGATGCACTTAGAAGCTCCACAGTTGCAGGCTGGTGGACTAAAGAAGCATGTCCATTGCTGGAGAAACTTGTAAGTGGATTAAGACCTTTGAAAAGCTCCTCCAAGTGTCATGCAGTTGGTGACCCTGTCCAGCAGATATCAGGGCGGACAGAGAAAGACTAGATTTATTCCTTACATAAATCCAAGAAAATGCAGCTTCAGAGATATATGAAGGTCAGTGCTTCACCAATGCCTTAGGGACAATGAAGCAAGAACCCTGAAATCATGTTTACATGAACAGACTGACAAAATTAACCTAAAGTGCAGCGAGCTGTAAAAGCAACAGGTTCCCCAACACCTTGCACCAGGAACCTGTCACTCTGAGGGCATGAAGCATGCCACACTTGTAAAACCAGCCAAGGTCCAGCCAAGCAGCAGATGCCTGGGGAAAAGTTTAAGAACAAAGCAAACAGAGAGGGACTGCCTAGGACATTTTCCCAGCTTCCAACATATAGCTCCAAAATCTTTTATTGCCTTTGTTGGGCTTTTGTTCCACAGAAATGTCTCTCCACTTTCTACAGCCACATGACTTTTCTCAAACCATACTTCAAATCATTCTTGACAGCCTTTCCTGTATCTTTTCTAGTCTCACCATAAATTTTTGAAACAGAGGGGTTCAAAACATTCACACTACGCAGATTTTTTCAGTTCACTGTTCCCAACGCTTAATTTGGGGTTGGTTTGGGTTTTTTCTTTTTTAGTACTGTCAGGAAACATTTAACAGAAACGTCAGTAAGATCCCTTTCCAGATACAGAATAGCTGGTTTAGAACACAATATGATACATGGAAATTTTGGCTCATTCTCGCCCTCCAAGCATAGGAAGCTCAAGTGAAGAGTTGAAGACAGAATCACATAAGGGGCAGGCAGAGCTGTCACAAGCAGCCAGTGCAGGCCAGCTGTTAGCCAGTTACCTCTGGCAGGAGCAGACCCTTGTGTTGATAGATACATGGACATGTCTGAGGAAGAGACATAAAACACGGAGAATGAATAGACACTTGAGGACACAGGCTTTCTACCCAGGATGAACCCACTGTGGGATAGTGTGCTAGTTATGGCTGCGATAGAGTTCTCTTCATAGTAGCTGGTATGGGGCCATGTTTTGCATTTGTGCTGAAAACAGTGTCGACAACACAGGGATGTTTTAGTTACTGCTGAGCAGCGCTTACAGAGTTAAAGCCTCTTCTGCTTCTCATGTCACCCCACCATTGAGCATGCTGGGGGTGCACAGGAAGCTGGACCGGGACAGCTGACCCCAAGTGACCAAAGGGATATTCCATACCATATGACATCATGCTCAGCATATAAAGCTGGGGGAAGAAGGAGGAAGGGGGAAGACATTCAGACTTATGGTGTTTGTCTTCCCAAGTAACTGTTATGCGTGATGGAGCCCTGCTTTCCTGGAGATGGCTAAACACCTGCCTGCCAAGGGGAAGCAGCGAATGAACTCCTTGTTTAGCTTTGCTTGTGTTCGCAGCTTTTGCTTTACCTATTAAACTGTTTTTATCTCAACCCATTAATTTTTTCTCATTTTTACCCTTACGATTCTCTTCCCCATCCCACTGTGGGGGGAGTGAGCAAGCGGCCGTGTGGTGCTCAATTGCTGGCTGGGGTTAAACTGCAACAGCCAGGAGCACACTCTCAATAAGGAAAGAAGCTCCAGCTAGATTCTCTGTGTGCAGCCAGGACAGTAATGGCAGGGGAGAATCAGATATACCCTGTTACTCTAGAAGCTAAAAATTCACTTGCCTCCAAAGCTTCTGAGAAAAAAAACAAACAAACAAACAAAAAGAGCAAACCAAAACCCAAAACACGCAGCCATGTGGCCTTGATCAGCCAAGTTATAGATATGCTAATGACAAGCTTTGTCCAAAGCTCAAAAAATGAAAAGAAGCTTTTGGGAAGGCAACAGCTTTGAACCCAATCATCCAAAGGAGGAGGAAACCTCCAGTAAACTGTGATTTGGTTTTGGAGCCTCACTACTGGCTCCACAGGAGGATAAGCTCCTTTGGACGTTCTAGAAATTGGCTCATCAGTTCCAGCTCCACTGGATTTACTACTGAACAGTGGGTGTAAGAGCAAGACTGATCTGAGAGACAGCGAAAAGTCTTACTTACCTAGAAGAGGTTTAGGAGACGTGCTCAACAAGTCAATAGAGGGGCCCTGGCTGGAATCTGTGGGCACAAAACCAGAAGAGAACCTTCAGCAGAGATTCTCAACCCCTTTCTTTTCACTGTGCTCACAGTTCCACTACATTCATAGATCATTTCCAGTCTCACCAAATTCAAGGGATAGAAAAGAGTCTTCAAACAAATAATTATGTCTGGAAGCAGGGAAACAAGGCAGCTAACCCCCAACAGTTTTGTGGCAATTCAAGAAAAGCGGAGAACTGGTCCGAAACAGAGCAGTGTTTTTAGAAGTCTGATGTTTAGTTAAATTAGCAGAGAGTGCCCAGAGCTTCCACTCCTTTAAGTCTGAACCAAAGGAAAAGCTCAGCCCTTCCAACTGTGGTACAGAAAGAAGTGTACACTCCTGGAAATGAAGTCAGGTTCTTGGGAAAATTATTGAGCAGGGAACTCACTCAACACTTCACTGCCTTCTGATGACTTTGCTGCTTTTTCCACTTCCGAGGAAGACTCTGCAGGATTCTGGCTGGCATCTGCTACATCCCAGGTACTAGAAGACTGCAAGGAGATGCTCATTCCAGTGATTTGCAGAACACAACAATCCTGAGTTTATTTCAGGTTTAGTGACCTGTATTCAGTTTTAGGCTAAAGGAAGCATGTTCCAAACTCCAGGCTATGCCTTCATTGAAGATAAGATAACATATGGACAAGTCCACATTCCCTTAGCAGAGACAAAAGAAAAAACCCAGAAGCTAAGCTGAATGGAAGGTCAGGGGGAATGACAGCATCAGTCAAGAGTAGTATCAGAGCTGGCTACTGTGAGGACTTCCCAGGGTAAAGAAATGAGCTTAAATAGTGTGAATGAGTTTCCCTGGAAAAAAAATAATCTCTGCTTCCACTGTCCTTATTTCCATACAGCCAATTCTCATGTTACTCTATTCACTTGATAAAGTCCACCTAGCATTGTGCAACAGTCACCCAAATCCACTTTACCAGGGTCTATGCACTGAAAAGCTGACTAAATGAGAAGTTCAAAGTAATAGCCAGTCCTTGCTTTAACTGTACAAAGAGACCACGCATTAATGCGGCACACGATGTGTTTTTCATGGAGCAGTTGGTAGTTCTGAGTATTCCTTCGAGATAAAGATGGTCTCGAAAACAAAGAACATTAATATTACAGGCCGCATGAGGAACTGTTTAGATCTGTGACTATGTCCCAGGCTGATGACTGAATCTCAGTTCTTCCATGTCAGTACTGAACGAGTATACAGCTTAAAGCCCTTCCAAACTAAGTGGGACTGCTCCTGGCTGAACAGCTGGCTATCTGAGAGCTGTTAAGACTGTCTGGTTTAAGCAGTTGTCTCACCTGTGTGTGCTCCATGAAGAAATCAGCATCACTTTTGTCAGGAGAGTGCCCAAGGGCCCCACTCAGTCCATCTATAAGCAGCTGAAGAGAGGAGAGGGAAAAAAGAAGATACCCTACAAGACTAAGCATCCAGCACTACATGTTTAACAGTACAGAGCTGCTTAGACTTACATCAGTGCCATATTTGGCCATGGCAGCACTTGCCAGCTGCCGAATCTTCTCCCTGTACATCTGGGCAGCTCGACTATTATACTTAGCGTTGGCATCTGTGGTAGTGCAGCCATGCTGGCGGAAGAAAGCAGTCTGAAAAGAGAAGAACATTCAGTCTCCTGACTGCTGGATTATACTCAAGCAAGCATTAGACATAACTCAAGCTCAACAGAAAAAGGAAATTTCCCAGAGGCAGGGGATATAATACTGAGCACACAGCATGAACCAACCATTCATTGATCAGCTTTCTCCCAAAAGTCTCACTCCAGGCCCCAGAAGGCTAAAAAAAACCCATCCCCGTCCTCCACGGGAGGATGCTTCTGAGTCACAATGCTGAGCATGAGCTTTCAAACTGATCAGTATTACTAACTCCTTTCCTTTAAGAGGACCCCATCTCTCATTTAAAAAAAGACGTAAAGAATTAACAAATCTGGATACCAGAAAGCAATGCAAAGGTCACAGCCTGACTTCCAAGCACAGCTGACAAACACCTCCCCTCATGACACATTTCCAAAAAAACCCGGAGAGGTTGGTACCCAGAAAGCCACACAGGAGAAAGGGACAAGAAACAGAGGATGTGAATTAGCAAGAGGGAAAGCAAGCAAAACGTCTACAGAGGCTCCTCACCGCATTGGCGTTGCTGCCCACTTGCATACACCTCAGCTGGAACCAGTTCCAGTTAGAATCCAACTCTGTGGACCTGCGCAAGAACAAGTTATTTCTATTAATAATGTGCAGGCATGCCAAATGAAAAAGCAAGCTCTAAGCTAGAACGGTCAGATATTCCACTAGCATAGGGGACAAAAGGGGAAAGAACATCTTGGTAACTTCTTTGCTTCAATAAGAAATTAATTTGAACTTCTAAAGTGAGGAAAAAAACAACAGTTTCCACTTCACATCAAATAGCAGTGCCCAAACTTAGATGACCTCTCACTTGTGTTGCTTAAGAGGGCGGAGCTTGAGCTAAGAAAGCAAAGCCAACAACTTTCATTCCACATGTGATCTCACCACAACATGAGACTCATATTCAGCCCGTCTCACAGATTAGGCCAGAACACATGACAAAGCAACTGAGAAAACAATCAAGTAAAGCCAAGTGACAGAGTACGTCTCGTACCAGTTACCACACTTATCTCTGAATAAGCAAAGGTCCCAGTTCTGTTACTTAAAATGCTAACTTTTACAAGTATGGAAAATAAGATCAATAGGTTGAAAATCCAACACCATCTTCCTCACCAGGCTGATACAAAAAAGATTAAATAATGGTGCCCTTTCTGCCTTGCAAAAGAATTTGCAAGAAAGATCTCCATACTGCTGCTTTACTGGCAAGATCCACAAACCACACTCTTTCAGCTTCTACAGCTCGGTTTCTGCAGGGTTAGCGAAAGTAACACGTTCCACTGAGGCGCTTTCAGAAACTCCATCTTGGAAGGGCTAAGTAACCTAAAACCTCCAGCGAGCAAACCACGTAAAACCCGAGGTGACTGCTCCGCGATATCGCTTCTCCCCGAATCCCTGCGTGTTCCCACGGCAAAGAGTCACGGCTGCTCCAGGCCTGCCCGGCCGTCACCCCCCGGCCGCAGCCCCCCGCTGCCCACCGCGCACGGTCCCGAGCCCCACGCACCTGATGAAGCTGAGGTGCACGCCCAGGGACCTGTGGACGCCGGAGCAGTCGATGCACAGGAAGACCCCGTAGGTGATGCTGGCCCAGCTCGGGTTCTTGGCGCCGCAGTCAAAACACGACTAAAGCGAAAGCAGAAGGACGGCCGGGCTGAGGCGTCGTCTCCGACAGCTCTACCGCAACCCAGTGGCCCCGTCCACCGTAGCCCAGCCGCTCTCCCC